GCTGGCTGATTGTCAGAGGTGAGAATTTTTTAAGAAGCATATCTATGTGTCCCATGTTCCCAGTGTCCCAGTGTCACTTGTTCCCCAGTTCAATATTCTTTACCCCACCTATTACGTTTGGGTTAAAATTCTGGTCATATTCTTCTTGCAACACTACAAGGTCATCCTCATCATCTTCACTTAACCCTGACAACATAGGACTTTGGAAATATAGGACTATTGGGACATAGGGCTCTGGGAACATAGGACTTTGGCAACATGGGGCTCTGGGAACATAGGACTCTGGAAACACATGGCCTATCTGCCAGTTGGAGTTTTGGATTTAAGACACTATTGGGTCCAAAATTGCAAATTTAACTAATCTAATATACAATATTTATGTAAAGTAATTCTGCAATATCATATTATAAACACAAAGTTGAAAAACAGATTGACACATTTGGTTTATATTTCTGATTCACTGCATGAGGAAAAATGAAATTGTCAAATATTAGCTAACTTTCCTTCATATAGTTTTGCTCCTTGTGTCCAACGTTTAAGTCGTACAATGAAATTAAACTCAATAATCTCCCTCCAGTGTCAGACTCAGCAGTTCCTGATGCTCCTGTGATGTCTGTGTCCAGACTGATATGTCACATAGTCGTAGGGACTCCTTTCCTGGTGTCCACCATCATACTGGGACTCATATGCATAGACAGAAGAGGTGAGAGCTAACACTACTGATCCAGATTCATTCTTTATCGTTCTTCTTCTTCACGTTTCTTCTTCATGTTGCAGCTCCTCGGCTTGTTGCAAAGGACAGAAGACATGATGTCATCATGGAGGTGGAATAGATGATGATGTCTGTGTCACATTTTTATTTGTGTATTAGTTTGTCTGTTTTTTTTAATTGTATGCTCATGAAAAAAAAATTCCTGTGTCTGATATTTATTTTGTCAAAAAGTGATGTGAGATTACGAAGAATAAAATTACAAATTAATGTAACAAAAACACTGGTATAGTTAGGAAACCTGCTCAGAAACATACTGGGGTGTCAATGAGCCAATAAAGGGAACTAAACAAAAAGAAAAAGAAAGTCAAAATAAGTACAGAATTTTTCACAGGAAGCTCAGTGCAGAGCTGTACTGGCACCTGAGAGAAGACGTCTTGATCTGCTTCTTCCTGTTGTGGTTGAGGTTACGCAAAGAAAAGCAGCAGCCATTTTTTATGAGGTTACGTATGTAGTGGTTTTATTTACAAACAGGTACAGGGAGAGATTATGAGCCACGGCCTCCATCCAGTGGTGCAGCTTAATTACGGTCGTGTCGTCAAGTTCACAGAAAAGATTCTAAAAGACGATGATTCAAGAACGCTCTGCCAGATGTCATCTGTCACATCCCTATCGTCACATAGGGCTCTGGGACAATAGAACTTTTGGGAACAAATGACTCTGGGAACATAGGACTTTGAGAGGACTTGCAGCTTAATTACAGTTACAGTCTTTTTAGAAATATGTCTTTATTTAGGAAAATATCTGATCTGTTACTTCCTAACTTTTGAGGAATTCTGTCTGATATGTATTTTTTAGTGCAACTGTAAACAGTATGATAAAGTTCCCAAAAGCAACTTCTTTTATTTTGTCTTTAAATTATTAGAAGAAAATCAGCTTTTTTATTTTTTTATAAACTACATTTTAGCTTTTTAGCTGCAAAAAAATATATATTTTTATTATCTAAAATGTTTTCTTTATTTATTTCTAGAAGATTGTGATGCATGCATTGCAGAAGAAAGTGAAATAATTCATTAAAGACTGAAGGCAACTTGTTTCCAGTGAGACAGGGATTGGTTGAACTGCCTGGAGGGACTTCAATCACTATTTTTGCCATGAATTTCTATTTTTGGATTAATTCACTATTGATAATTTGTGCGCGAGGGTTAACTCGTCACTAATCCACTTTAAAAATTATACTTCTGTTGCTACCATCACCGCTGGAGCGTGACAGCCAAATATCATGAACTTCAGATCACAAAATATCAGGAAATATCCAACTGATTTTATTTTTCTGTCTATTTTCTGTAATTTTTCTGCATTGTTTCTATATAACAACATAGTTTTGGCTCCTAATAGTTAATATTTTTCTTATTTATTATTATAAAATATCATATTATTATTACTTTATTACTTATTTCAGGGCCTTAAACCTTAGAATTTACATTTCCTGCCCCTCATATTAGAGGGACTGTTTTTACCCGGATATGAGGAAACCGAAACTCGGTCTCTGATTGGCTAAGCAGTAGCGCTGTCTGCCTTTAGCATTGAAGGTGTGTGTGTGAGTCCTTAGTCTGTTTATAAAGGCCAGTTTTATGTTTTATCTCAGGATCTTTGTGCTTCACTTCACTTTTCTCTTCTGGACTTTATATCTGACAACGGGAGTCTGGACGTCCGATGAAGGTAAGCTCACGTTTTTTGTTACTTAACGTTACACTTTGGTTGAGTTCCTATTACGTCAGCAGGTTTAGCTTAACTTTATTCACACTGTCAACCTTCGGGTGAGGTTATCTACACAAGATAACCGCATCAACTATTAGCGACAGTCGGCTTCTTTAGGCAACAAACTGAAGCCCGGTAGCTACAGTACGATATCTACTAACATTCAACTTACGATATGTGTCTGTGAAACTACAACGTGTATTGATGAAGTTAAATGCTTTATTGTGTGATATTTATTGGGATAAATAATAACTAACTCAACTCCTATGCACTGTAGTCTCATTTTAGCCACCATTAGCCTCCTGTTGATGCTGCTGCAACTGGGATTTTCACAATAAAAGTTCCTGCATGAGAGGAAATATTCAGTAACTTCACATTTATGCAGTACAGTCTCCTCACATTCACTTCACACATCATCCACCTCCTGCTGAGGATGCTACAACAGGTTATTTGACAAATAA